TGTCAAAAGCTTGCCTATAAAATTTTTTCTAAGCCTAATTTGTTATGGGTGCATGTTCTTAAAAGTCAATGCAATTTTATTGAAAGAATACCACAAGATATTAGTCACTGTAATTCCTCATACCTTTAGAGAAACATTGCTTCAATATAACATGATATCATTTTTCATGTCAAACGGCAACCTGAAAATGGAAGAGGTATTAAATTTTGGTTAGACTTTTGGATTAGTGACTCTAGTCATTTAAAGTTCCTTGCTTTCACTAAAATCCTTGACTGTAAACTTAAGAAACCATTAACTGACTTCCTCAATGACACTGGGCAATGGAAGTGGCACATTTTTTTTTCAATTTTCTACAATAAAAATTCTCAGATAGATAGCCTTAGCATCTGTTAATACTAGCAGCTTAGAAGGACCTTCTTGCTATTAGAATCTTACTTTTAGTAGTAAATTCAGCATCAAATCCTACTATACAGCCTCACAATCATTGGATTGGCAAGACACAAATGTTAATTGGTTGAAAGTATGGAAACTCCTTGCTGCCTAAAGAGTTAAAACCCTCATGTGGCTCTTGCTCAAAGGAAAATTACTTACCAACACTAAACATAATCACAGGAAGATGACCCTAAATCAAGGGTGTTCAATTTGTAATGCCCCCATAGAAAACATTGATCATGTTTTTAAGGAATGCCACTTAGCTGCTAATGTTTGGCAAAAGATTTTGACATTAGATATGCATATTGAATTTTATGGGAAGAATATAGGCCCTGTTTGGTATGTAGTCTTGATTTTCATAGGATTGGTATTGGAATTAGGATTGGGAATAAGTTTTAAAATTATGTTTGGTAGGATGTGGGAATGTTTGAAAAAAATTTATTTTATATATGTAATCATATTTATAAAAGACAATAATACCTTATCAATGTAAAAAGAATATGAAAAGCAAGGGCCATCAGAAGAGTGCCGGCTATCAACGCTCAACACCATCAGACAAGAAAGCATTAAAAATGTGTTGCAACAATATAGAAAATTTCAAAGTAACATCAAAACTCAGATTTGAAACACAATAGAAAATTTTATAGCACCATCGATTTATATTTGATATCAAAACTTAGATATGAAAAAAGGGAACTTGTGCAAAAACCTTCCATCTATGAAATAAAGGGAACTTGAGACTTTGTCTATAGAGCGCAATTATTCTAATGAGTCTTCTTCCATCCTTGTTGATGAAGAGATAAAGCTTTGATGAAGTTCCTCCTTGACCCAAATCTTTTCATGCCATGGAGAAAGGGACAGCTAGAATGACGTACAGGGTCAGTGAAAGATAAAGCTCTGATGGTCTTCCTCAAGGATGATATGGATGGTGAGAATGACAAACAAGTGATAGAAGATAGTGATTGATCGAAGATGGAGAAGGTGCCCAGAGATAAAGGAGAAGGTGCTGACATGGAGAAGAGTAGAGGAAAAATGACGAGAGACGCGAGAGCCAATGAGAAAATTGTTTGACAATGCAGGGCATTTTAGTCCATAAAATTTCAATTCTAGGAATAAAATTTCAATACCACCTCTCCCATGGATTTCACTAATCCCACATAGGTAGGCTTCACCGTTCCCAAGTTTTAGACAATCCTCCATAACAAACAGCTTAATTTGGGCTTGACCAATACCAGTTCTAATCCTAACTCCCCTAATGCCTTGTACCAAATAGGACCACAAGGTCTTGGCTACTACAGGTGCTACAGAATTCCTGTATTGATATCTCCTGGAAAATTGGTGTGAGCATACTCTGTTGCAAAGTCCATTTATAAATTTTTTTTAAAAAATAATAGTAAATTGGATTACCCAGATTAAATATGTATTGTTTAGATTTATAATAAAATAAATTTATTAAAATTTTATAATTTTTTATAATAAATATAAAAAAATTAAAAAATAAATTTTATAAAAAGGTTCAGATCGTGTCCATCACTTGATGAGCATTGAAACTGAACCTGGCCATGAATCCCCTTAGACATTAGGGTCACTGCCTAAGGCCTCGCGTAAAGTATAAGTCTCATTTAAATTATCGATATTAAATTTTACTTTTTAAAGGATATAATATTATGAAATTTAAAGATAAATTACATGAAAAATGACTTTGTTTCTATATAAAATGACTATTAAAATATATATACAGCATAAATTTTATGTAAAGTACTGAGATAAATATGTAAAGATATTCTAACAGAATTTTTTGTTATAAATTGCACATTTGTTCAGATAATTTTTTGGTATTGAATATTATCGATAAAAAAAGTTTGCCTTTGAATTCAGCATCAAAAATATCATTGACTTTGAAGTATTTTATTGAAGTTCTGAGGCAATAACGCTGAAGTGGTCCTTATCAAATAAATAAGAAAAAATATAATAAAATCCTTTCAAATTATTTACATGATAATTTAGTCTCAAAAAATGCCATAATTCTATTAAAATTCTTACAGACTTTTTTGTTAATAAATTTTAAATTGAAAAAATTATTTTACCCTCATTGATAATTTTTAATTACTCATTCAATTCTTGCTATTCTTTAAAGCAAAATTGTAATTTTTTAAACAAAATTTATAAATGCATTTTGTTATTATGAGAATTTATTTTTCAATAATAGAAATTATACTTGACAAATCGTAATTTTTTATTCAACTCTTATGATTTACAGATTTCTTAAATAAAAATTATGATTGAGACTTTTTTTTAATAACAAAAATTACACTTAACAATTTATAATTTCTTGTTCAACTTTTATAATTTATAGAACAAAAGTTGTGATTTTTTAAATAAAAATTATGATCGGGACTTGTTATTTTTAGTAAGGGTGAAATGGTCTTTTTACCAAAGAAGTTAGTAACAAATAAGTCTCTAGAGACTTTATTAGCATTATAGCATTTTAAAGAATTAAATTATCATTTTTATAATTTAAAAAAATTTCATTATCATTTTTTCAATAAATAAATAAATACATACATATATCACTGAATTGGTCATGTCATTAAAAAAGGGGAAGCTTTTTACTGGAGTTTGGAACCAAATTATTTACCCTTCTAATAATGATATTGTAATATGAATTTAAAAAATTTAAATTGATTATTAATCCAAATAAATCAATGACATTGATACTGAAATTGACAGACAACAACATTAAGACTTTTTAAGGTAATGAGCTCTCCCATTATTATTATTATTATTATTACTATTATTATTTAAAAATATAACTATTGATTTGTATATTTTTAAAGTGTTTCGATATAGATTCTTAGTCTCGTTTGATTAATTACTAGAAATGAATGAAATGAAATGGATAAAAAAAATCAAGGAAAAAATAAACTAAATTATCCTTTTCCTATAGTAAGCATGATAAAACTCATCAATATATATTATAAATGTGAGAATCATCACATCCTTCAAAAATATCATAAATCATAATTTTCAATTCTATAAACTATTACCTCTCCCCCTTATAAATGTGTTCATTTGTCCATTTTGATAATCTTATTTTTATTTTTATTTTTTTCAATCTATTTCATTTCTTGCTAGTAAGCAAACGTGATTTTTTTTTGTCTCTTCATGTCTCTCTAGCTATCTCGTCTACAATGTTAATTTGTTTATTTTTAAATATGTCCAAAAGAATGATAAGGAGGTACTAATTATGTTAAATATATTGATATGTGATTAAGATCTTTAATATTTGTGTTGAAATAGAATTATGATTCAACAAATTGAGACATGAAACATTAAACAGAATGGGGTGGATAATACTATTAATATGCTAAATTATAAGTCCACCTTAGTATAGATTAATAACGTTAATTATTGTTGAACATATTTAACATTGTCAGTGACATTATTTTTGGACATATTCAAAAATATAAACATTAATGAAAGTTGAAGATGAGATAAACTAGAGGGACTATAAGCAATGAAAAAACTACAAGTACCTACACTAAAACACGTTAAAATCATAGAAACTAATAGTTATGTTTTCCTAAAAAACAGATTTATGTTTATTAAACATTGTTTAACTTTTACAAACAAGTATGAAAATATTGTCATTGAAATTAAACAACAAATTGCAACACAAGTTAACATCATATTCTTCCTAATGAACAACAATGTCACTTAAATCACTTTTTCATGTTTGATGACAGCATAACATATGGACAACAAAAAATTAGCCTTCAAACATATATGTAAAGCATAGCCTTAAAATTTAAGGATTTGTTTGATTTCTATTTTTAAAAACTGTTTCTTTTTTTTAAAAAAAAATAAAAAATGCTTTTAAGTGTTTTGGATTTAAATAATTTTCAAAGTTGTTATGTTTTTGTTAAAATGGAAATATCTCAAAATTGTTTTCTTTTTCTGTTTTTGCTTTTAAAATACAAAATATTTAGATATTATCGCCACCAACCCTACCGTTCTTGCTTGTAATCACCCACCAGCGCCAAGTTCCAACACCAACCAATACTAGTGGTCATTGCTAATCCCCCACTGACTATGATCATTAGCTATCATAGATGGTGCCATGCTAGCTGATTACTATTGGCCATTGCCAACTAATCACCACCATCAACAATCATCAAAAATTGTTGGTACAACCAACAATTATCATTGGCCATCACCAATGGTCATCGCGGTCGACTACCACCACCACCAACCACACTTCTCTAGTAACCCTAGCCACCACCATTAGCTTGTCAGTACTACTGGCTATACCACATTAGATATAAACCCTCGTCAGCCATGACTGATCACTACCATATGTCATCACAATTAATTGCTTGTGACCATTATTATCAATCAATTTTCTTAATTGTAAAATTGTTTATTTAAATTAATATAATGAAACACATTATTTAAACAAACAAATTTTAAAAAATAATTTGCAAAATAGTTTTTTAAAATAAAAAATGAGAACAAAATCAAACAAGTCCTAAATCAAGAGAATAAAAGTCCTCTCACAAGGAAAAAGAGATTAATAACACAGCGGTATGATATTCTTAGAGCTTCAACACAATCTATTAGAGGTGGAATACTGATTTGTTGATAAGCTGCAGCGTATGACAAGCATGAAAGCTGGTTTGTTGAGTTGTCCTGCAATTACAAGATTAACATATGATAAGAATGTCAACATGCGTGAAGGCTTCAAAAATGTAAAATCATTGGTGTTTAAATTTGTGTACAACTAAAAAAAAATATAAATAAATTTTGGTTACGAATATGTCATGCATAAGTGCAGCATTTGTAATCCTTATGCCGTAGATACCAAAATAACCATGATTATTTCGTCTGAAAGTACTCTAAAAATTAAAGGATAAAATGACCCTAAAACTCTTTTTTCTTGTGCATCTTCACTCATAAATTTAAGCTCATAACAATCTTCCCGATGTTGGAAAATTACATAAAAGACTTGATAAAAAAGTATAGAAATGGACTAAAAGAATGACAGAAAAAGACCTAAAAATTATAGAAAATAAAATAACCAAAAGAATCATAATAATTTTTTGGTCATTTTTTTATTTTTAAGGCCATTTTTTATATTTTTTTTATTTAACTAACTGTTAAAGTTAACAACATGGAGGATATTGTCACAATTTTAAATTTTTAGTAATGAAAATGTATCAACAACAAATTTAAGGTCCCATATATTCCTCAACTTATAATTTAAGGACCAAATTACCATTTTATCCAAAATTAAATCGGTTTTAACCTTAATTATCGTCAGAACTCTTCAAGTTTTCAAGATAACCCTTTTACGCAACCTTAATATGAAAAATAAGGAAACAACCATATACAATATTTATGGTATGTGTATGTAAATATATCTAAATTAATTAAGATCAAAATACTGAAATATGATTATTTATGTATGTACCTGATCAAACTATTCAAGGGAGAGAAAGTAAAGTTTCAGTATATGCAGTTGCTGAGTAATAACAAGATCCCAGACAACAACATAATGGACGACGTCGTGTAATTTCTTGCGTGAAATATTGACGACGTTCTTGCAATTCTCCTTTGTCACTCCATTTCGATAACCCTATATGGTCATCCACTACAAGAAGTTGACCATCTTTGGTGAAGCATAATGGTAATATGTAACAGATATCCCTCTTACAAGACAACGAGAAAAGCTTATAATAATTAGTCCAAGATGACTTCACACCATACTCTCTCATCACCCACATCTCATCTTGATCGTCCCTACTAAAAATCAGAGTGAGACATCCTTCAAGTACTCGCAGATCATATAATCCTATGAAGCATCCATCAAAATCAAACGGCATTGGAACCTCACGTAGATTTTTTGTTGTAATATCAAATGCAATCATTTTCACTGCAGATGGGGTTCGGACTATCCAATGAATAGCATCGTTTGAGATGAAACCAACGGTTGGGACATTCGCATGATTGATGATAAGGTTGCCATGTTTTTGCCATGAGTTGGTTCTGATAGAGAAGACATCAAAACCTAGAAGAAAATCAGATGATGGATCGAGCTTCTTGTATTTTGATGCGAGCACTAGTAAGTAATCATCAGCAAACTCATCATAACAAAAGCCGTATAGAAATATGGAGTTATGTGGATCAGGTACTGGGATTTGTTTGCAGACCCTTGTGGAAGGATTCAAAAGGAAAATTTTTTGTTCATTCGTAGGAGCAAGAAACACAAAACCTCGGCAAGAAGTCGCCATGAAATCGACATCAACGTGTGATTTGAAAAAGGGAAGGTCGAGCTTCACAACAGCAGAATCGTCATGAAGGGATGCGTTGAAATCTATGGATAACATTTGTGAACCAACAGCGTAAAGGATTCGATCCGGGTGTTGAGAAGATCGTTGAAAATGCAATTTCACAAAGTAAGGGTTAGAGATGAGAGAGAGCCACGATTTGGAAGTGCACTTTAGACCCAAAAGAGATTTGATGGGCAAGTGAAGAAGGATTTCCAATTTCAAATCTCTGGGAAGGTTGTCCATAGAGAAAGAAGGAATGAGACGGATAGCATTTGGTGGAATTAATTATTATTTTTGAATCTTGAAGCAGTTATATGTTTTTCAAAAAGAAGATTATTTACATACTTGAAAATAATGATTAGTAGGATGATAAAAAAAACTAAAAAGAACTATATGTGGTGATCCAAAATTTTATCGCGCAATTGTAGTCTCCAACTTCTTTTTACATCATTCGCGGCAGCTAGCTCGATACATGTGGTGTAAGTATAGTAAGATATTATTTTTCAGTATAGTATAAGTATTATTAGATAGTCATTGTATACAATTCTTACTTTCTGGTAGCCTCTCAAAAAGAATTTTGAAGCGATTTATAGTCTTATTTGGAGGAGAAAAGTAAAACATTATTAAGACAAAAAAAAAAGACAAATAACGATGAATTTAATTTATCAAAGAAATTAATATTCGAGCATCTATGTTCAAATGGAAAATACAAGGGATCAATATATCTTTGCAAGAGGAATATAGTAAGTAGTTTCTGTAGATAATGTGTTGGCACTCACAAGTTAATCATACGCATTAAGATTTTGCAAACTCTTATCCATACATACAATGAGAATTTAAAAATATTATGAAAATATCAATTTTTGCTGTTGGGTTTTGTTAGGTTATCCAATTATGAATAGACTTGAAGTCATGTGAGAAGTCACATACTTAATAAAATTAGTCTTAATAACTAAAATAAAAAAAGAAAAAAGATTCATAAATTTGAGCTTTGGGGGCTTGAGTTAAGATGTAATATCCTTTTGCTATTTTTATTCTTTCCACCTGCTTTCAAGTAGTCGCTCCCCATTCATAATAATGATATTAGAGCCAAGTTATCAAAATTTTTTATGTTGCTTGCTATTACTAAAGTTTGACATTAAAAAATTTAATGACATGACTAGTTTTGCAATTTAGTGAGGTTAGATGAAAGCTATTCTTACTCAAAATGGATTGAAAAAAGCCTTGCTGAAAAGGCAAACAAGCCACTATGTCTTATGAGCAATTTGAAGAGTTCAATTGAAAGACTTTCTGCTATTCAACTATGCTTATCCCATCTTAATGAATTTAATTCAATTATTATAGATTTAGAAAATAATGATGCTAAAATTGATAATAAGAATAATTTTTTTTTTGTTTTCTCATTGTCTTCCTCTCATAAAACATTTTAAAGAAATTATGTTATGTGGAAACTTAGACACCTTAGCCTAAGATCTAATTTATTGTAAAAAAAAAAATGATCTTGAAGCTCATGGTAGGCTCTCTAATGCTGTTTTATGGCATAAATGTGATTTATGTTATTTGGTAAATCATTCACCTCAAACATAAGTTAGTTTTCAAATTCTACAAGAAATTTTGAACAGTAATTAACCCTATTAAATATTTTAATTTAAAAATTTTTGAGTGTCTTGCATATGTATATGTTAATGATAATAAATTCACTCCAAAAACTAAAAGATGTATGTTTCTCAGGTAAGCATGTAAATCTAAAAGATATTGGTTATGGTGCTTAAAATCTCATATGAATAAGGCTATTTTTAGTAAAAATGTTACATTTAATGAAGATGCATTATTTTCTTCTAGAAAAAATTGTTGTGTTTCTCTTTCTACTAGTATAGGTGATGAGCATAATACTAGTGAAAAGGCAGGGTTAGAAGTGAAAGCTATTATTTCTTCCTCTATTATGGAATCTAGCTTCAATAAAAGAAGTCATGATAAAAAATATATGATAAAGTTATTAGTACAATTCTTGCTATCCCTCAAGAGCAAGAATAATTTATCACTCAAGATTGTTCAAGGAGAACTATTAAAAAGCTTGTTAGGTACACTGATGATGAGTTAATATTATACATTTGTAGTTACACAAGATATTCTTGAAGGTGTGTTGAGCCATTCTAGTTATTCTAAAGCTATTTCTTGTGGTGATTCCTCTAAGTGGTTAATAGTGATGAATGAAGAAATTAAAAGTTTCCACAAGAATAATATTTGAGACTTATGTGAGCTTCTTAAAGATAATAGAGTGTTAAGCTGTAAATGGATTTACAAAAAGGAAGTGTTTGGGCTAAAATATGAAATGTCACTCAAATAAGTCATAGGGCTAGTTGGGCTAAGTAACTGAAGCGTTAGACTCAATATAAGCAAAAGGGGTTGGCCCCGATGCTCAATAAAGTCCATAATATATAAACATGTTGAAATCTCGTCAGCTGCAAATATTAGACTATCAACATGAAATACATGATCTCAAGTCATACCGAAATCTACAGACTTCACGTCCAAGTATCTCAGTGAAATGGGCTGATTACCAAAATAGAGAGCATGGAATAAAGACCATGCCATGAGTTTTGTGACATTCCTGATTTTTCAGCAAAACATGCTAGGTTGTAAGGAAGAAGCCACTACCACTCTGACACTATAAATAGAAGATGAAGACAAGGAAGAAAGGAGTCAACACTCAATCAAAGACTCACATTTTACACTTTTTAGCCTTTTAGTTTATTAATTAATCTTTCAGTTTAAACTTGTAACTTTTTCACATTTCAATAAAATTAAACACTTGTTCTACCAAAGCCTTATATCTTTTTAGATCTGAGTGAACTGTGATAAGGGAGCTCAAGACCCTTTTGTTATCAATTGAGACTTAACATCTCTATCACTCCTGGTATTTATTATTCAACATGAATAATTTTTGGCACGCTTAGTAGGACTTGTGTAACAAAGATGGTAAGGACGCAAAAAGATAAAAGGATTGATGAAATAGGTGCTGGTTCTCACGAACTAAAAGGGACCTTTGCATATGCATGGTCAGAACACTTATTGCTTGATGTTAAAGTGGCTAAACATTGTGAGCATATAGTGTCGATGTCGATAGGTAGTAGCAGAAGCCCTGGCTCAAAGTCAAGAAGTAGACAAGCTAACCTACTGATCATATCCAATAGTCCTATGGCAAAAGTGCTATTGGGGATTCAAGACTAGATGAATAAGTAGCTAGAAGAGAACCAAAGGTTCTTTCCACTATCCCTGGAAATGTTAGAACATAAGGAGAAGGAATGATAGCAAATCATGATGCAGGCTCTGCATGACAGCATGAAGAATATAGTTATATCATTGAGAAGTACTCCTTTAGAAACAGGCTCAAGTTTAGGGCCACTTGGAGGGCAGCAAGTAGGAATCAATATAGGTGCTGGCCATTGAGGCTGCCTACTTATAAGAGACATCCCTAACCCTTAAATATTTGCTCACACTAATCCTTTAAGTAATCCTTTATATTATTTACAGGAGCCTAGCACGAGTGGCTTGAGGGGCATGACAATGATCTCAAAGGGTCAAAACGAGCCTCAAAACTAACTGGTAAACATGAAGACCCTGAGGGATACTGTCCAGGATATATATCGACCAAGGCTGAGGCCAATTGGCTGGCCCACATTCTTGAAACCATATTCGGAGTACATAGATAGGGACAACCCATACCCTTGAGGATATAGGATCCTTGGCTTCACATTATTCTTAAGGGACATAACGCAATCGATACTAGAGCATATTGGGAGGTTCACAATCTAATGTGGTGAGATTCCCAACTATGAGAACTTCACCAACTTAAAGGTGAGATTGTTCCTGAACACTCTCACAGGCCTGGCATTCACATGGTACACTTCATTGCCTCACAATTCAATCATCAACTAGATGAAAATGAAACAGAAGTTTCATATCTAGTTCTATAAGGCAGAATTAGAGGTCAGTATAGCAGAATTCTGCAAGCTCACCTAATAGCCTGAAGAGATGGTGAACCAATACTTGGTAAGGTTCAAACGACTGAGGTGCAGGTACCATGTGTCGCTTCCAAAAACTAATTTTGTCAAGTTAGCTTAAGTAGGACTAGACATAGAGCTCTGAAAGAAATTTCAGGGGATGGAATTTTAAGATTTTTATGAACTAGCGGCCAAAGTATAGGGATATAAGGACTGCTCAAGAAAGAGGACTATCGCCGACAAACTATGACAGGAACCTATTTTGGGGACCTTGATATGGCATGGTAGAATTAAAAAAATTTTGAGAACTACACATGCCTAGCTCTGATAAGGAAGGATGGAGATATTCCTAAAAGGTTGAATGTAATCTAATATACCTTTCATACCACTAAAACAGAAAATCTTTAATTTTCTCCTCAAGGAAAACTTCATCTCCCTACCCACTGATCACAAATCCCTTTGAAGGAAGAATAGAGAGAGAAGGAATACTGTAAATACCATCAGTCATGGAGTTATAACACCAAGGCTTGTTGCGGTTTCAAGAATGTCATCTAGGATCAAATCAATAAGGGGTTCTGAAGTTCCCTAAGGAAGAATCTATGGTTGTAGACGAGGACTCGTTCCCACCATTTGCTACAGTCAATATAGTAGAAATAAACTTTGGAAAATGATGACCTAAGAGAAATGATGGTAAGCAGAGAGATAAAAGGCCTTAGAATGTCTGGAGCAGGGAGGAAGAGAGTCAGGAAAACTCAAGGATAGTATGGGACTGCCTAAGGAAACCTAAGGATTGGCCTAGCAGGAGGTCTTCTAAATGGGACATTGGCTTGAAAGGATAGAATGTTAAAAGCTTAGAAAATTCCAAAGTAGTTTGGGACTGTCTAGGAGAAACCCAAAGCGTAGGTAACTAGTAGAATGAGAAAAAAAGCAAATGACCCTTGAGATGGGATGTTAACCCAAGAGGATTGATAATAATAGAGCTAGATAGATCTAAGGTGGTCTGAAACCATCTAGGGAAGCTGTCTGGAAAATTTAACTTCCTTATTAAGTACTCAGTGCCGTCAGGGGCAGGTGAACTATTCACAGGGACACCAACGAGCTAGGATGTAGGCCTTGATAGCCTACCTTTACCACCATTAATCACATCAGAAAGCAACACAAAGCTTCCTTCAAAACCAAAAGTTCTTAAGGGCTTGGGCAGGTTTGTTACCCACTTAGCAGTGTACCCCCTCTAAAGTG